TCACCTTCCATGCTGTGTAAAGCCCGAAGCATTTACCCGTCTCTCATTTTCCAGCTGGAGGACAGAACCTTTTAAGTTTTATGTCATTTTTATTATACATATTGTAATGTTATAGCTCAAACACTAAAACATTTACCTCAGAAAGAAAGAAATCATGTTGCTAAAAAAAAAAAATTCCTAGTTATTAAGTCAAAATTACCAATCGCTGTTTTAAAGTGCAATTTGAAAATGAAATTGATTCAGTAAATGAAGAAACTGCTCAATGTCTGTTTTTAAAAATCTTATAGTCATTTGCAAACATATTCTTTTAAAATTGTTAGGGAGTTTAATTAATACCCATGACCTGAGATTTCTGTGAAAACATGAGTTTTTCAATCACTGTTTGTTGGCATCAACTGTGTTTCAAACACAAATCAAAAGTCTTTTATAAAAAGACTTCAGAGAATGGAATAGACAAATCACTTTGCTCTATATGGGACTGAGGCTCTCACCTGTATTTCAAATGCTGGGTTTGGAGAGTTCAATTATATTTCCTAAGATTACTTCAAAATACCTTATCTAGGAAATTCAAAAACAACTTAGGTTGAAGCTATGTGTACAAGCTACTAGAAAAAGTCTCCACAGGAAGCTAGTGTTTCCAACCTAAATTTGCATAAAAGTCAATGACTAAAGATTAATTTCATATATAAGTAGCAATTTTAACTTCAACCTTGTTCATCATATCCTGTGACACTGTTCTCAAGTTAAAATGATCTTCATTCAGGAAGCATACAGCAAATACTGAATTATTAAGTGCCTACTGGGGTGCAACAGAGAATAAGAGAGATGTTGCCCTTGGTTCTCAGCAAGTTTGCAGTCACTGTAAATGAACACAAGGGGAAGAAACAAAAGAGTGTACTTTGCACCAGGAATTTTCCTTTTGAAATAACCTTTAAAATAAGTCCTTTCTTAAACAACCACTATATTGCAGAGGGTTGCAACATGCCAACTAGAGATGGTTGGAGTCATTTCTCAGTCTCCTTTACAGATAAACAAGGCTAAGATGATGCAGGTAGAAATCACTTGGGCTTCAAGGTAAGCTCTTTGAATGACATTTACTTAGGTGGCACGTCTTTCTTCACCCTTCCCATGCCCCTCTTCTTTCTGCCTGTTAGTGGACTTGATGGCTGGTGCAGCAGTGACCCTATTGTACCATGAGGCAGCCTTGAGGAAGACAGAGCAGAAAGATAAGAGGAGTCTGGGAAATTGAACCATGTATTCCTATGAACTTCCTAAGAAATATCATAATATATGCAGAAATTTATCTAACAGCATCTTCTTGGACAGCTTTCTGCACATCTTCAGCTTCACCATTTCATTCTGGAATGACTAAACCTTGACCTTCAGCTCTAAACATTGTTCCAATGTTGAGATCACAAGTTCTATGTTTCCTCTGTCTCTAGTACATCCATGTTCTAGAGACCATCCACATCCTAAAGAACACCGCATCTGGGCTGAGTCCTCAGCACAGCTCTCCTTGCCCCAGCAGGTTTTTCCTGTACTTTCTTGCTTTCATTCCCAGTCCTGATATCATAGTGATGCATTTTACAGATTCTGCCACCTCTCCTCCAGAATTCCTTCTCCCCTAGAACTCTAGGATCTAACCCATGTATATTGAAGTTCTTGAGCAGATTCACAGATCACTTTAAAGAAAAACAGTGGAGGGAGATGGCCCTCTGGCTGAGAATATCATTTGGCCTCTGATGTTTTAGAAACATCACTGTCATCATATCAACATCTTCCTCATCAGCACTGCACTCATCCCCAACACTCTAGAGAGTACCAGCTACAGGCACTTTTCATCATTAGGTCATTTAACATTCATGAAGACCTGACAGGGTAGGCTCTACCATCAGCCCTGTTGACAGTAGGATTTGAGTCCAGTTCTGGTTGCAGAGCTCACCTCTCCACCTCTCCATCATACTACCTCTGGCAATTTTGGTATCAAAAATGTATAAATTTCTTTTCAACAACAAAGAATGTCAGCCTTTTAAGAACATGTTAGAATGTTCAACTGTGAATTTATCCAACACTGGAAAAGACTGCTTTGGGATGTCTAATCTCCAAGAGGGAGTCTAATGTACTTACTGGCTTCCCATGCTCCTTATTTTGTTACTTACATCTCTGTATGAGTTTAGACATCAGCTCTGCCCTTAGGGAATCCCAAGCTAATTGTCCAATGTTCATTTAAAGAAAATTCTTGTGCTTTTGCCGATCCACGGGTTAATATATCTTCCTTATGCTATTCTTACTTAAGATTTATGTTAAAGTCCTCCTTGAATTCAGTGATATTAACAACAAAAAAAGTCTTTCACAGTGTTTAGTTCATGAAGCACTTCTTTTTTTCTGGAGTCACATGAACTAAATGCAGCTGCACTGAAGTGACTGATCTCACACAGTTGGTAACGTTGACAGGTCTTCTTACTTTTGGTGGGGTTATCCCACTTTTGTTTTTATTGCTATGTTCATATTGAATATTACAATGTACTGTAGCTGGTTAGAAATCTTGATTCTCATTTGATTTTTAGACAGAGCTCTTTAGCTAAAAAACTTATGGGACAAAAGTCCTTAGCTAGGAAGCAACAGCCTACAAGCAGGGCAAAAAGCCCATCTAATCAATTCTAATCAAGTATATGTTGATTCTCAGTTGATTTTTAGATAGTAATGCATGTATGGGACAAAGGTCCTCATTAGAAGACAATGGTCTACAGCTATCTGACAAAAGCCCATCTAATCAATTCTAATCACTGTTGAGGGATGGGATTATGTACTTTGGTTATTTAACATACTGATTGTTGTTAAAAGATGTTGAAAGAATTGCTGTAGGGAAAAATGTGAAAAATGTTTGCTAAAGGCAAGCTGTTTGTTGGTGGAAACTTTAGAGACAATTACACTTAGATTTAATCAAAAGAATGTAACTCTTGCTTAAATCATTTAAGGAGAGGTTATATTTTAAATTCGATAATGAACACAGTTTGACCAACTTAGCTTTTCACGAGTTGTACTTTGGAATATCACATTGTTAATTTTAATGATGTTACTAGTTTCTATTGTTTAAGCTATACTCAGCCATAGATAACTCTTGTCACATTGCCCATGTCTTTGTGTTCTTTTGAAATGATTGAATCAACTGATTTTTCTTGTGAAACTTCCCTATCCTTACAATAAAAACAGAAGCTGACTTTGAATCACGGCTGTACCCAGTATTGCCTTCCAACAGAGGAGTTGCTGAGGCGCAGTCCCTTCGGGTTTCTCATTGCATTCATGTTGCTTTGAGCAATCTTTTTTGAGTCTCCAGTACATGGCAAGAAGTGTAACAATGTACCTTGAGCTCTTATTTTGAAGTAGGTTAACAGGAAATGGTACAGATAAACCAATATCCCCATGAAACCCTTAGCTCAATAGGCTATGATGTGATGGTCCAGGAAAAAATGTTCCCAGGCCAAAGAAGCCTGAGAAACCCTATAGACCATACCTACCTCCTCTTAGAGAAACAGGCATTTAAAAGTTACTCAGAAGTCTTGCTGTAAGAAAAATCTTTTAAACTATTCAATTTGATATTCCATACATCTATTTGATCCTGAATTTTTTTTTTCATCCCTCTTGTCCCCTGCCATGGTGTAACTTGTGGGACTAATTTCTTGGAACACCAGTGTGGGAAACACAGTAATAATTAGCAATTGGTATTAGCAGTTATTAGAACACTGTCATGGGAAGTCATAGAATGAGGCCACATCAAACCACTGTGGGCTTTGCTGTTTTGAGGTTGGAATCCTGAATGCCTAAGACACTAGTGGGAGAGAGAGATTTCTACCTCCTGTATGAGTCACATAGGGCTGCCGAGGTGGAAATGCCAGTGGGGACCAGGGTAGAGCTAAGAGGGTCCATGTCCCAAGCCACTTGAGGTAGCCCTAGGATTCCTTGACAGAGGGATGTGGCAACTGCAGGTCCACACATGTCTTTTCTCTGAATGTCTTGCAGGGCAGAAACATCCATGGAGATGGGGATGCACAGCACTGCAGTTAAGAGAGTGGCTTTTGAGTCACAGGAAACTGGTCCACTTCCTGTTTCTGTTGTTTACTCTGCCCATGACCTTGAAGCTGTTCTCTAGGTTCTCTGAGCTTAATAATAAGCTCCCTCTTTTATAAAATGTGGTTAATAAAGCCAACCTCTCACAATCAAACGAGGTGACAGATCAAAGGTGGGGAACACCATGGTGAGTGCAGTAAGGACTCAGGAAATGGACCCACTGTAATCATTCTACATCTTCACTTGACTGGTAAGAAGAGGTCAGATCCATGGCCCTGACCCCCAAGGAAGCCAGTATCTCAGCTCATTTCCATCCGATGCACAGTGCAAATGACTTCTTAGCTCAGGTACACACTCAGCAACAGAATGTAATCTTGCATATGCAGCCCCTCCCCAAACATCGCTCTGCTGGCATAAATGGAAAACGACAACAATGATCCATAATCATAAAAGCATAGGAGCTGGGGATAAATAATGGCTCTCCCAGACAAGCTAACTTGGTTGTTATTTATAAGCTCCTGGGCCATCTTGTTCTTGCCAAGAAAATCTGCTGCTTTTCGGTCTGGCTTCTCAATCTGTACTTGCTGAAAAAAAATAGTTATTTTTATGCTAAAACCACAATGGGACTCACATAACTCAATGCTAAATAACACCAATAAAACTATGAAAATGGCACTTGGGCATTAAAAGTTATTTTCTCATACACTTTAACAAGATTCAATGCTTTTGTTCTCACAGTGCTTTGGTATTTTAGCTACACACACACACAATAAAAATGTAAGAAAGAATTCCAGCAAAATACTATCCTCTCTCTCACAAAAGAGAATTCTGATTTTGCAAACAGGAAGCCAGCAGGACCCATGGTACGCAGAATTAATATTAATCAGTAATCATGACTGTGACCATAGTGGTGGTGTCCAGCAAGAATTTACCTCTTTCTTGGTGAATTTTGGCGAGTGATCATTTTTGTCATCGATCATGATTGTGGCTGTGGCTGTGCCTGTTAATCCAACATCCTGTCCAGCCATATCTTGAGCCTCGATGATCAATTCATACTTGGGGTTTTCCAGAGTCTACAAAGCACAAACACAACAGAGAAGATGGTGTTTAGATCTGTGTCACAGCTCTGGAAAGGTGGCAGGTGTGTTGCTGGGGCTGTCTCTCCCCTCTCCATCTAGACAGGCACTTTCATCAGTCACAGCATTTCTAACTGTTGTGTATAAATGTGCCTTTGGAATCTCTCCAATATGACAGTCACTATTCATAGACTGGAATCAGCTGTGGGGATGGAATCTACTTATTGTCCTTGTTTAAGGGGACATTTGATATACTCCAGAGTGCCCCATTTCCTGGGTTTGGGTATACATCGTATATTTGATGTCCACACTCTTATCTGTTATTTCACAGTGACCTCATGGAGCTTACCCAGAAATGAGGCTAACTTTGATGATGAGATCAGCAGCTTTAGGAACTCACGTTTACTGAACAATCTGATGGGCCAGGCATTGTACTACTGTACGTTACAGAAGTCATTGTAGTTGATCTTTCTAAGATGGATTTCAAACTGCAATCATTGTTCCCATTTTACAGGTGGAAAAGAAAACAACTGAGGCTCAGAATCACTTATACTGCACTTCTTTCATGTTCTTTTAATTTCACAGGATGTTAAATTTGGAAGATGCACTTTATCCAACCATGACCTGATGAATTTAACACAAGCTATATTGCATGATCATCTCTCTTTGTACACAAATGTTTCTCATGTGACTATTTGGCAGATATTTGGCTACCATGTTTAAACATTCAAAACAATGAACAAAACAGCTCTGAACCTAAGATGAAGAAGAGGGAAGTGGTTGGTAAATAACAGCCCCTGCATTCAAGTTGCCTTCAGAGGTGGATCACCCTATCTTGATCAATCAGCACACCACCATTCTTCTGGTAAGGCAGCACCCCAAGTTCCCTCTGGGGACCTCTCCACCCATGTGGTTTGTCTTTCCCCACCTTCCATCTGGTGAACTTTTGGAATGAGTCCTGATTAGGAAGAGTCAATAAGCGCATCTCATTCTGGGACATAATGACTAGTCCAGGCCGAGGCCCAGGCCCTGTGTTTGATGAGGGAAGGAAGCTGGGTTTCCCTGTAAAACCTGGAAGCATTTAGCTGGAGGAGCCAGATGAGCCATCTCAGGACCACAGCAAGGTGGTGCAGGGGAAGCCAGTCTGAGAATGAAGCCAATTAATGGAGAGAATTACCCTTGAACTTGGAGAAAAAGAAATGGTCTTCAGTGATTGCACTGAAGCTTCTTCATCATTCCCTGCCCTGCCCATGGACTTTTCAGCTCATTAAGACATTAATTTTCCTTATTTGCTTAAACCAGTTTGGATTGGTTTCTTAATCACTCACACAAAGAGTCTGAGTTGAACTACCTTCAGTAATAAAAATGAAAGGTGTTTACAATAGCATAAACAGTTGTACCAGTATGACAATTTCAAAAACTGCTGGTTATACCAACTAATAATTAAGAAATGCCACAGGGAGCAAAGAACAAAAAAGCTGCAGCATATCTCTAGTTTCCTTCTAAAGTCACAAGTTTGCATGGTAAATTTTAATAGCTCAGTGCTAGCTTTACCCAAAACTTTAAAGTACTTTTGAAGAGTGGTTAGCTGTTCGTTCCCTGGGGCACCTTTAATTGGTTGTTTCTTTAAGAGCTTCTGAGCTACTGATTTGAGGAGTATTCATTCTGTTGGACAGTTTGGTAAGGCTCTAAACTTAAATTTTCTCTGGTGAGTGGGATGCTGATGTATTTTTTTGATAACTCTATGCATGATGTTTTGATTTCAATTCTAACTCCACCAGGACTGAAGGTCACAGAACTCTCTTATTGCTGAGTGTGATGGAATTTGACTCCATACTTAGCTCTGGTTCTGCCTGAGTTATATAGAAAAGATATTACTCATAGAAAAGATCATGGTAAACTTAATATCATTTTTCCCATGTAATATAATTTACCAACATAATTCCTGGACATAATTTTACGGGTCATGTAAAATATAATCATATGTAAATTTTATGATTTACTTAATCATCTTTGATTATTGGGTCTTTAGGTTATTTACAGTCTTTTAAATATATTGACAATTTTAAATAACACTGCAATGAACATCTTTATTCAGGAAGCCTTACATGTATTTTGGCTGTTTTTTGTATGTGTGTGTTTTGTTTGTTTTTGAATGATAGATCTCAAGATGTAAATTACTAGATTGTAGTGTTTGAATGTTTTAAGGTTATTTATATTTCAATATTGTTTTCCAAGAGGAGAGGATGTTACCAATTTTCATACCAGTCTTACAGGGATATTTAGTTCATGATCACGGGCATGGCTTGTCCCTATAGAACAGCTCCTGACCTTGCTCCATGAAGCAAATTGGGGGACCAGTGGGATCTTATGATGACTACCTAAAAAGGAGATAAATTCCTCACAGCATTCACTCCAACTTGCAGTACAGATTGCTGTGGGGACATGCTACCAGACAGCTCTGGGAACTAACTATAGTGGGCACGAGCTGCTTTGCTTTCCCAGTGTCTGTTCCCTCTCCTTCTTGTGCCTATGCTGTAATTCCCCTGGGGCATCACCCCTTTCTCACTCTCAGTACAGGTGGAGTTCAGGTAGGGCTGACTCCATGCCTGATCTAGGGATGGTCATGTGGCTCAGACCTGGCCAATCAAGGCCTCCCATTCCTGTGGCCATGTGATGGGCACCAAACCCTAGGTAGGCCACCCTACAATTAGCATTCAATTCTGGGAGACTGAGGAATCTTCAGAAAGTTCACGGAAGGATTCAAATTATCTTTTAATCCAGTTTCTCCAGGAACATTTTGAGGTGTCCTTGTATTTCTCTTAGAATGCTTAGGGAAAATTCTCTTTCTGTTGAACTTGAAAGTGGGGGAGAGGGGATCGATCTGGAGCTGGTTGTGACCAGTTGCAACCACACAGAGAAAGCCAACCTGACAGTGAATGTGACACAGACAGAGAGGAAGACATGGCGTTCTCTTAACGTCATTTGAGCCCTTAATAGTCATTGTTGAAGCCAGAATTTACCTCTCAGCTTTTGTGAATTCTATGAGCTCATAAATTTCTCCTTTCCTCATGATTTAGATGACCTGTGAGTATTAAGAAGGCAGTTCTGACTAATATTGTAACTAACGTTATCATCAATTATTTGGTTATTAGCGAGTGTTATGGGGTAAATGTGTCCTCCAAAGTTCATGTACTGGAAACTTGACCCCCATTGTAACAGTGTTAAGAGGGTGGGAAATCCAATTATGGTATTTGAAAGGTGGGGCCTTTAAGAGATGATTAGATTGTGAGGACTGTGCCCTTGTGAATTGATCAATCTATTCATGGAGTAACGAACATGGTTCTGATGGCTTTAAAAGGAGAGTAAGTGAGAATTTTAGCTCTTTTGCTTAGCCCATTCTCACCATGTGACACCCTCATTGTCACAAGATCCTGTAGAGAGTTCCCACACAGAAGGCCCTCACCAGATATGTTCCCTGGAGTTTGTACTGCCCAGACTCTGAAACTGTAAAAAATAAATTTCTTTCCTTTATAAATTACCTGGTTTCAGGTATTTTATTATAAGCAACAGAAAATGGACTAATACAGCAAGAAAGTGTAGGAGCTATCATATCATACCTTAGTATCATAATAAGCTCTTCACAACATTCCAATCATTTCATGAATATGTTGTTTTTGCTTTTAACATTTTCTCCTGCACAGAAACTTTTTTTTTTTTTAACCTGGAGAAAGTTACCATAATTTTTTCCTTCTTTAGTATATGCATGCATTTAATTAGCAGTCAATAAACACCTAGTCTAAATGTTGTGCTGGGTGCAGGGACTATACCGGTGGAAAAACAGGGTCCCTTTTTTTAAAGAGTTCAAAATTTAGGGTTGAAGACAGTCATGTTCACATGTAACTGTAACAAAATATAGTCAAAGGTAAGCAGAGATATCTACAAATTCTTAGGATAGCACAGAGGAAGGAGTCATTGGCATAACTCTTGCAGTTTAACAAGTTTTATAAATACTTTTAAAAAATAAATGTATCAATTTTCATCTTTAGAAGTAAATAAGACTTATAGCTATAATGGGAAATAGATTGATTAACCTAGTAGAAAATCAATTAGATTATTAAGTAGGTAAATTGTAAAGTTTGGGATGAGATGGTCTAAAAGTCTCCATTTTCTGGCATACTTAATGCTAACACTAAAAATGTTTTTATTACTAAAGTAGCATCCGATTGTTGTAAGGAAAATAAAAAACTGTTTCCTGTTTTGTTTTATTCCAAATGCCCATCTGCTATCTTCCTAAGTGAGGACAAAGTTTTCAAGAGTAAGGACCATGCCTTTGGCCACAACACCTCGCCAGTACTCAGCACACAAGGTGGGCAATTAACTTTCATTATTGATAATGATATATTACTGGTTCCCTGAACTAAATTATATCCCGAAGTTCTGAGCATATCAGTGGCATTTCCAAACCAAAGTCTTTATTCTCAGGGAATGGCTTACACTTTGGGGAACTCTAGCTCAAGGCAACAGGATTTTATTTTGACCAAGAAATGCACTGTGTCAAAACTTAGAAAATTAAATGGGCTCCTCTGATTTTATTTGAAGCTATCTGATCTACAAGACATATCTAAGAGAGTCAAGCCGCTCTCCTCGCTTGAGTTCTGCAGTGATGCATTTCTATTGCATTTTTGTCTCCTCCTGGGTGTCTACTAGCCACAGTTAATATGTATCCTGGAAACAAAAGGAAGCTGGCGTGTCTGCAAGAAAAAGCCTAGAGGAAATCTCCGCAGACATGGGCCAGGTTCACTGATCACACTGATTTGAAAACCAAACATTTTGTCTTGAAAAAAGAATCGAGCCATGTCATTAAATATGGCACCTAATCAATCACCAAACCCACGATGTTTTACACAGTTATGATGGTTTCTATACAAGTATGCATTTAATGGAACATTTATCACTAATAACAAGCATAATGGTAGCTGTGGGGGAAAATCAAC